CCCTTAAGCCTCCAAAGGTTAAATGATCAATGTTGTAGCGCTATAATCCCTCACGGTGTGGTTACCTAAAAAAACACAGTGTTGTGAAAAGTTAAATAAATGAATAGATAAATAAATACAAATTTAAATTTAATATTAAAAATTTAAATTAAAAAATATTTAATGTGTTGGTCTTCTCTCTAAACAACGTATCAATGCATGATATATCTGTGTGGATACTGTGTTTTTACTTTTTATTTATTTTTTTAATTTTCATTTATTCAACTTTTCACAACAGTGTGTTTTTTTGGTAATCACACCGTGAGGCTTATAGCGCTACAACATTGATCAATTAAATAATTATTGTTACCCTTATTTTTTGGTAAAATATATAAGACGGGGTCACATCGGGTAAATAGACACCAAACATGTCAAGCCTTGGGGGGGGCTAAGAAAACCCTCTATGTGATAGCAAAGAGATGTCACAGGTCCTCTTTATGGAGACATCAGGGGTCTCCAAGACCCCTGTCACCTAGGGACCCCCCCAAAGAAGCTGATGAAGCAGAGATCTGCTTCGTCAGCTTCTCTCCAGCTTCTGAAGCCGGAGAGTGACACAAGAATGCAGAAGTAATGTAATATACAAATCACTTCCGCATTCTGACACCGGAGAGGGGACCAGAGGGAGATCTGGCTCTATAACTGCCGCATCGCTTGTATGTAAACAGGCATCGCTGCTTGTTTTTAAATTTGGGCAGTTTCCCACGCACGCGAGTCACATTCAGGAATCCAGGCGGTTGAGGATGCTAAAAAATCTTTGCTGTATTCATGACAGATACTATTGTCAGCTTTGATCTTCTAGGTCCAGTTGCTGTGAATTCCAGCACTCACACAGAATTTGAAGGCCAAGCCTATACCTCAAGCTTGTTGTGTTCCTCAAACCATTCTTGAACTATTTTTGCAGTGTGCCAGGGAGCATTATCCTGCTGAAAGAGGTCACTGCCATCAGGGAATGCGGTTTCCATGAAGGGGTATACTTGTTCAGCAACAATGTTTTGGTAGGTGGTATGTGTTAAAGTAGCATTCACAGGAAAGGCAGGACCCAACGTTTCCCAGCAGAACATTGCCCAAAGCATCACACTGCCTCCACTGGAGGCATGGTGCATCCTGGTGCCATCTCTTCCCCAGGTAAGCGTCACGCACCTGCCCATCCACATGATGTGAAAGAAAATGCGATTCATCAGACTGAGTCACCTTCTTCCATTGCTCTGTGGTCCAGTTCTGATGCTCACATGCCCTTCATAGGCTTTTCTGGCAGTAGACATGGGTCAGCATGGGCACCCTGACTATTCTGCAGGTATGCAGTCCCATACACAACAAACTGCAATGCACTGTGTGTTCAAACACCTTTCTATCAGGGTATAAGGATCCGGTTTCTCTCCATCATATCTTCCGACTCTCCGGATCTTTGCTGGCGGTGCAAGGCGGTAAGTGGCACTTATATACATATATGGTGGCACTGTCCCCCGATTCTTTCTGGCACAAAGTTTTTGCAGTTTACAATCATTTATACGGTGAACAACTACAGCCTTCTCCTGCAATAGCCTTACTATCCCTATTACCGCGTCCACGGAAAACCCCAAAAAATATTCTATTGCAACACTTTGTGGCCGCAGCCAGGCAGATTATACCTCTGTTTTGGAAACAGGCGGTTACACCCACCCCCCTTTCCCTTTGGGTCAGTCAAGTTAATGACATTATGCGGATGGAGAAGTTACTAGCGGCAGATACTGATAGCTCAGCTAAGTTTTTGACTCAATGGAGTGTATGGGTGCATTATTCGTCCTCATCGGAGCTCCGTTCACTTCTGTAACCACCCCTTTTTTTTTTTTCTCTTCCTTTTTGCTGAATTTATGGGTCGCTATGGAACCGTTCCCATTTTGGTCATCAAGAGACAGATCTCCCAGGGTCCTTTACTCCCCTTGTCCCCCCCTGAACTCCCTATTTTTCTGCTCTTTCTTGCCATGTTTTTTTCCCTTCTGCACACTTCTCTTTTCCTCTCTACCTTGATAGAACAATTAGCTGCTTTTAATCCCCGCATAGTGACGATATTTGTCGCACACTGATATTTTCGCCCATATGCTATACTACCATTGTACCTTTAAATGTAGGTCTGTGGCAAGCCAGCACGGGCAAAAAGTGGACGGTTATCACCTTCCTATACCTCAAATGGTTTCCGCATATTTTTGCTCTACCTATCCACCTTGTACAATGTACTGTTTTGATTGTTGCAAACTTTCATGAAAATTGTTCTTACGGTTTGCCTTGATGTGTTATTTCTAATTTCCTAATAAAGAAAGCTACAGTAGCTCTTCTATTGGATCGGACTACATGGGCCAGCCTCCGTTCCCGATGTGCATTAACCCTTTCGCTGCCACTGACGTACGAACACAACCACTTGCAGCTGGCCACGCCAGTATGCCATACATCTGTGGCTTTTTCCCTTCTGCTATAAGCTCATGATCGCCTTAGTGACCATGAACTTATAACAGAAGGGTTCTGCTGACGGTCCTCTGTAAATTAATAGCCATCAGTAGCTCAGAAGCCGCAGATATTAACAAAAAATTAGGGCGCCCCCACCAGCATCTTCCCTGCCTCTCCTCCTCGCTGGTCCATGCTTGTTCTGGGATCCCTGCTGCACTCCCCTGCCTGTATGGGCTGAGGCAGCAGGTTAAATGGAGCGCTGGCGGAGGAGGGAGCCGATACGGATGGCCATGCGGAGAGGAGCCGCTGCTGTCAGAGTGACCGAGTGGGGAGGAAAGCAGAGCCGCTGTCATCCTGTCAGTTTCACAGATGACAGCAGCTGTGTGTGGCAGAGGAGGATTGATAAATATCAGCGATATGTACCGATCCTCTGTGTGCAGAACAAACACTGGAGTGATCAGCTGATCACTCCAATATTTGTAAACAACTGTGCACAGATAGTACTATTTGTCCCTAGTTATGAAGAACAGGAAGTGCATTACATCACTTCGTGTTCATTCATGAGTTTCTGAATGGGTAGAAGCAGCTAAGTATAGAAGCTTCTACCCCATTCATAACTGGCTAATAGTAAATATTTTACCATCTCCAGTTTGTGAATGAATGGGAAGCCTCTGTACTGAGTGCTTTCCATTCATTCAGAACAGAGGCTGAAGAAAAAAAGATTGAGGACTCTCTTTAGACCTGTAATATTTTACTAAAGACCCCCAACAGTAAAAAAAAAAAAAAGAAAAAATAATAATAATTAGGGATGCACGATACTACTATTGCTGCTGATACCGAGTATATGGGCGAGTAAATGCTCTGATACTAGGGATGCACCGAAATTTCAGCCGCCTAAACATATCGGCCGAAATTGGCACTTTTGGCAAAATGCCGAAAGAGCCATCTTTCGGCCGAAATAGCAGTGCATCCCTGCTGCTCTGTGTCCCAGCGGGTAGGAGAGAAACTGTCACAGGAGACCGAGCGGTGCGGGGGAGGAGAGCGTTGTGAGTGTCTCTCCTCTCGCACTGCTCAGCCTCCAATGACAGATCAGGAGAGCGGTGTGTGGGCGGTTACAGCTGTGAGTGCTGTCACAGGAGGCGGAGCTCTCATCCAGCACTGCTCAGCCTCCTGTGACAGATCAGGAAAGTGGCGGCGTGGGGGCGGAGACAGCCGTCACAGGAGGCTGGGTCGGCGGTGCAGGGAGGAGTCAGCTGTCACAGGAGATCGAGCTCTCCTCCCTGCACCGCTCCCTCAGCCTACAGTGATAGCAAGTCAGGATGGAGAGCGGGTACAAGCACCCACTTACCAGTGAGTGTTTGTAAATAATTGAGGACATAATATGTTTACTGTGTCCCCAATTATGAATGAATGGGAAGTGATCTACATCACCTCCTGTTCATTTTTGATTGAGGATATAGTAAAAATACTCTGTCCTCATGTTATAAATGAACAGAAACACTCAGTATAGAGGCTTCCTGTTCATTTATAACAGGGGCTGCAGAAAAAGAGATTGGGGGCTCAATCTCTTTTTCAAAAAGGGAAATATCAGGAATCTGTTTAGACCCCTAATATTTCCCAGGAGCCCCCAACAGTAAAGTAAAAAAATTAAACTGTAATAAAAATAAAATATAAAAAAAATGTAAAAGTTTATAAAAAAGAAATAAAAATTTGAAAAGGTTAGGAAAAAAACAAACATTTTTGGTTTCGTTTTTTTCATTTCGGTTTAGAAATTTTAATTTCGGTGCACCTCTATGCGATACCTTCCCCGATTCCAGAATTTCCGGTCAGAGGAAGATTTACTCTGCCCAGCAGTGCCGTTGGGGAACATGGACCCGTCTTTCCCGGCAATCAGGAAGCCGGGTGGCAGATAATGACTCGCCGCCCGGCTTCCTGATTGGCCGGGAAGCCAGCTTCGCGGCCAATCAAGCAAGGAGCCAGCTTCCTGTGCCAATCTGGAAGCCGGGCGGCGAGTAATGACCCGCCTTCCAGATTGGCCGGGAAGCCGGCTCCATGCAAATTGGCTGGGAAGCTGGCTTCCCAGCCAACCAGCATGGAGCCAGCTTCCGGCCAATCAGGAAGCCGGGCAGCG